TATTAAACATATTATATAGAGAATCAAAGCGTGCTTACAATGATTTCGAGTGAAATTTCTGTACTATAGTAATTTATATTGTTTAAATGGATTATCGGATTTATTTCTGGTATATGGAAATTCGAAAGCTGGAAATCAAAAAAAAAAAATCAAGCAAATAAAGTTTTTAATTAAAAAATAAGATAAAGAAATAATAAATAATAAAACAAAAAAAATAAAGTTTATCATTAAAAATAAAACAAAGGATAAAAATAAATAAAGAAAATTTTTGATTTTTGATAATATAAAAACTTGTATTTTTATTAATAAATATTGAAAATCTCTATATTTAAAATTTTAATTTTGCGAATTTGTGACGATCCTTATTTGTGAATTTTCTTGAAAACTAGCGATTTCATTTAGATAAAATTTTAATGTTATAAATAGATAGATTTTATATAACATTTAAACGATAAAAAATTATCTGGTCGGTCACTTTCTAGCATATATTAAACACATGATATAGTATATTTTTATACTAATGTAAGGGATTTCCTTAATTCGGAAATTTCACTTAAAATTATTGTAAGCGCACCTGCACAGGTGACGCACTAGTGCCGTAAGGGTGCCGCTCCAGTAGTGCATAAACAACACCCCCCTCTGCGGCCGAAAATAAAACTCTGCTGAGTATCAATATAAGAATTTCCATAATTCAGAAATTTCTTTTGAAATTATAAGTGTACTTGCATAAAGAATACTTTCTATGGTCGAAAATAGCAACAAAAAACTTTGCTGCTTTTTTTTTATTATGTCAATCAAATACTAATCATTTTTATGAATATTCATGCATGGTGTATTTTTTTATAATGGTTACTATATAATTACACCTTTTTAATTCTCTAATCGTATTTTCTTTTTCTTTTTGGTTTCTTTTGTGGTGTTTCGTTAGTCTCCATACTATTTGATAATAAAATTCTTGGAGGAGTTTTAAATCCATCTTCATCATCATTAATAGCGGTCTCAAGTTCCTGGACCAAGGAATTAAGCAAACCCTATAATTATTTATTAAAATTAAATTAGAAATTTTTAATATTATAATTAATCAAAATTAAACTTACCCGAATATTCCATGCTATTCTTATGGCAATTTTTAAATAATGATATGCCTCAAATGTAAGTGGAAGATTAAAGGACTTTAGATGATGCAGGTAGTAAATATCCCGTTTTTCCATTAAATAAACTCGAACTTCTGTCATATACAACTGAACCATATAAATAAAATAAGCAAATATTACAGCTATTTATAAAGCAAAATAGTTATTACATTATAAATATACCTGAATTCCAATTATATATAGTCGCGATCCATCTTTTCTAGCTTTATGGAGATTTAACCTTAAATCATCAAGCATATCCTTCATAATTCTTGTAAGATGGAATTTGTCAGAAGCAAGTTTTGTTAAACCGTTGGAATGAGGTCCACCACAAGCTAATACACAAGCAATCTCATATTGTTCATATTTGCATAAAAGATCTACTTGATGACTTCGTTCAAGCTGTTCAACAAGTATGTCCTTATTTTTATTTCGGCGACGTAAAGATGCTTGAACAGAAATCTCCCCCCTTTATAATATCAAAAATAATAAGAAAATTATTATTTTATGAGTATAAAAAAAACAAATAGATTTATAACTTACCATAAAACATAAAGTTTATTATCTAATGTTAAAACTCCTTGTATTAGTGGGACTAAATAATCTCCAAACCATTGACGTTCATCACAACTCCCTAGCAATAGATTTCGAATCGATTCAAAAGCATATAAACTATATTAATAAAATAATAAAATAATTAATATACATTACAATAAATTATAAAGAATGAAAGATTTATAATATACAATTGTCCTGTTGCCCTTTCAATCCAAAGTTTTATCCTCTCCCAGTCATTTTCTGCATAAGAAAAATTTTTATCGTATTCAGGGGCACCTAAATTTCTAATTTCATACCATCTTTTACGAGCTTGCAATATATCCATCTAAATAGAATAAAAAAAAATTAGAAGTGTAAATTTAAAATAAAATTCACTTTTTTCTTAT